GCTGAGATTGCGTGCACTCTCATGATGCACTCTCATCAGCAGGCCGAGTGGCTGACGGGATGTGTCAATAGAGGAATTGTATTCGTCTTATTGTTCATGTGGAGGGACAGATGGGGGAAGGAGGTGCGTTCCTCATTTAGTCCGGAGCAGCAGCAGTCGCAATAACGACGACGATGAGGATGATGAGGATGATTATTATGAGGATGATGATGAGGATGATGATGATGAGGATGATGATGAGGATGATGATGAGGATGACGAGGATGATGCTGATGATGATGACGAGGATGACGATGATGATGAGGATGATGAGAATGATGATGATGAGGATGATGATGATGATGCTGATGATGATGCTGATGATGATGAGGATGATGATGAGGATGATGATGGTGATGATGATGATGCTGATGATGATGCTGATGATGAGGGTTGCGTGGCTGCGTGCGGGGTGCGGACGGCGCCTCGTGTGTCGCCACACACGTGATGCGTGATGCGCTCAGATGCAGCAGCAGCAGCAGTAGTAGCAGCAGCTGCAGCAGCAGCAGCGCTCAATTAGCCGCCTGGCACTGTACGTGCACCCACTGGACACCCGCGCGCTGCTGCTGCTGCTGCTGCTGCTGCTGCTGCTGCTGCTGCTGCTGCTGCTGCTGCTGCTGCTGCTGCTGCTGCTGCTGCTGCTGCTGCTGCTGCTGCTGCTGCTGCTGCTGCTGCTGCTGCTGCTGCTGCTGCTGCTGCTGCTGCTGCTGCTGCTGCTGCTGCTGCTGCTGCTGCTGCTGCTGCTGCTGCTGCTGCTGCTGCTGCTGCTGCTGCTGCTGCTGCTGCTGCTGCTGCTGCTGCTGCTGCTGCTGCTGCTGCTGCTGCTGCTGCTGCTGCTGCTGCTGCTGCTGCTGCTGCTGCTGCTGCTGCTGCTGCTGCTGCTGCTGCTGCTGCTGCTGCTGCTGCTGCTGCTGCTGCCCCGTGACCGTGGCACGTGGAGGCAGCGTGAGTCGTCGTTGCGCCAACTCCATGCCGCGTTGTTGCCTGACGCTGCAGGCTCCGCTGCCTTTCTCTTACAGGTACATCGACAGGGAGCTCCAGATGTTCTGTTACCCCCCAATTAATTGCCCCCTAACATGTTTCTGCCCTTTGCGTACGAAGTTCTGTTTTTAATAAACCTCATTTACCAAAAAAATGTATTACGTTTTAGAGATTTCAATGTGGGGGTCACAAGACATCTGGAGCCCGCTGTGTAGAAAGCTCACAATCAACCCCCTGGGCGAGGGTCGATAGACACTGTCCCGCCGTGCCGTCGTCTGCACACCGGGACCTGCAATCCGGGCGATTCGATCTCCCTGCGTGGCAGTCTGAACAATGGGCCACGTTTCATTCACCCCCCGCCTGTCGGCCTGTGTCCCACTAAGCGGTGCTAATGGGTGGACCACAATGGGACGTTCCGCAGGTCGGGTGTGGTGGTGGGGTAAAGTGTGTGTCGTCCCCCCCCACACCTCCACCAAGGCGTCTGGTGGGTGTGTAAGAATAGGGCACACACGACTCTCTAGAGGGCCGCTCTCTTGAGCTCGGTCTCGGGGAGACATTTCCACCAACAGGGGCGTGAGCCCCTAATTGCACGGCTGCACCTTTGCCTTTTTAAATTGTCTTTTACCAAATCACTCGATGAGCCTAGAAGCAGGTGCTATAGGCTGCTCCGGAGCTTCGCTGTCAGCCGAGCACAGTAGCCGCAGGATCCATTGCTGTCCTCTAACTATGCTTAGGTGCCACGGTGGCTGGGAGATGTTAACTACCTCTCCTGCTATACACGAGGTCGTGGGTTTGATCCCTCCGTAGGCGTCCTCTTGGGACGAGTTCCATCCTCTCCCTGTCACTGCAACAATGCATGACACGTGTGTAATGACAGGGCGACGCCTGTTGGCCTGGAGTGGTAACTACGGTCATGGCTGCATTGCACGACGCCTTATTGTGAGGGGGGCGTATCTGCGGTGAAGGAACCTGCCCGAAGGTTCTGGAAAGGGGGCGTTGTCAGAGGTGGAGCTTGGCCGCGCCGGGGCTGCGTCGCTGCTCGTCGCCATCTCTTTGTCTCCGACCACGTGGCTGATCTTCTAGAAGACAGCTTGCGTAGCGACCAATGCCAGAGATGGGGCCACGTGTTAGGATCGCCTGTGTGTAGCTGCGTTACACAATGTATCGCCCAGTGTGCTCTTGATAATTAAGAAGCCTTCTACTCGACGTGTCCCGGAAGCCGCTCACTACACAGGCACGCGTTCATTTGCCACATGATGATCAAACCATATTAGAAAACAAAGATTTGCTGGCTGGCTGGAGGCAGGGAGGGACAGACGTACGGTCTCGTGTGGGCTGCTAATTATAACAACTTTTTGTCTTGTGGTCGATGGGACTGTATGTGATTGTGCCCATCGGGGGTTGTGTCTAATGGTGGGTGTGGGGTGGTGGCGAGATGTGAAACTACATTTACACTCCCGTAACGCCGGTGTGGTATTACAGTTGACGCACCAATCCCGGGTAATAGAACAATCACACAATGGCGCACGATTAGTGCAGCTCTATAGATATACATCAATACGTGACATTAAAAGTGAGCTGAGCATTATTTGGTATAGGTCTGTACGATATGAATTATTGATATGGGTGATTTAAACAGTTATTCAAAAGGCTGTTATATAACTCGTGTGCGTGTGTGCGTGTGTGGTTTCAGGCGTGGTGCTGGCCACCCACCCCCTCGTGTACCGTTCCCGCCTTCATAGGTGCTGCTCGCTAACAGCACTTGTCCCAACAGTCTGTTCAGGCTAAAAGGGGGCGCTTGGTCTTTGTTGTGTGGTTCCGTGCGTGGTTTGGTTTATGTTCGGTTGTATCGTGTTGTGTGTCCGCTGTTATATTACCGGACGAGTGCACACATTTTGTGTGTTTTCCCTATTGGTCACAAGGGTTTCATTGCAGCCCAAGCCGTTCGGGGCTGAGCTCCGGAAAATATTTCCACGCGGTAATTTATCATCGCGACAACAAGGGGGGCGAGCCAGGGGCCTGAGGGGAGAGCGGTGTGGGGGGGGGGTAAAAGTCAGGAAAATATTCCATGAGAAACGAAGACGCTGTCGCGGTGTTAATGGTCAGCAGTGAAGTGGACATCAATCAGAGGGCGCCGGTTATATTCGATCTCACAGCGGGGCAGGTAAAATAAAAGACACCTGCCTGCGTTAAATCCCCCAAGCTCTGTCCACCAGCAGCATGAATGGTTCCATCGCTTCTGGCGGGGTAACCCGTGGGTACTCCCAGCTCTGCCAAGGCATCTGGTCAGGGTGGAAGAGTAGGCCAAATGGTCTGTTAGAGAGAGGTTTTCTGGATTTACCTCTAGCAGAGTTCCTTCCACCAACAGTGGCGTGAGCAAGCTATTGCAGGGCTGCACCTGACTGAGTACAGTATGTATATGTGCCTGCGTGCTAGTGTCTATATTACTGTGTGTGTGTACATAGCTACGTATGTGTTCGCATATTACTGCGTGTGTGAGAAGAAGACGTGATTGTCCTTGTATGTATGGCTCGATATGACTGGGTGTCTATAATGCCAGTATATATGAATAAAGCAACTGCAGGTGGACACTTAGCGCACACGCCGTCGAGCACACACACGGCTGTGCCGGCAGGGTGGAGGAACTGGGGCAAGGGTCACGGTAGGCCTCATCGGGAGGCCCCTGGAACCCTCTGGTGGGTCCCACACACGCGTCGGTGATGTGCGGCGCGTCTTCTTCGAACGCTGGGGAGCCGGAAAAGCCCCTCTCTGTACCAGCGTGGACGTCACCCTCGTGTTCACCTTCTGAAGCGCTCGCTCGTCACCGTGGCGTGCGCGATGACCACTACCACCACCACGTGACTTTCTTTCGTGTTGTGCGCGCTGCATTTAGCGCCACGGCGCGTCGATTTGTAGCGTTTGTTTGTTTGCTGGTGACTTTGTGTATTTCATATCGGAATTGCCTCCAGTGCTGTTGCTGCTGGCGGCAATAAAATTTGTTTAAAAGTCTGGTGGGTTCGAGAAGGGAGGCGCGGCCAGGGCGGAGCCAAGCCGCGCCGAGGAGAATAAAAGCAGCGGAGAGCGAGAGCTCCGGGCTGCCGGTGCCGGGACTCATCTCGTCGTCGCTGTCGCCTTCGCCCCATCATTGCGGACAGTGGTTGGCTGCCTCGGTCGACGCCATAGGAGCAACGTGGACAGGGTCGTGTCTAGGCCGGGCTGTAAGGCAGCGTGGTCGTGAGAAAGGAGGCCGGAGTTGGTGGTGTGAACGAGATAATTATAAAGAGAGACGGTGCCTCCTGCAACTACCTCGTCGGCCACTGAGCGTGTGCGCTACACACACCACACGCACACCGAGGAGGACACTACACATCCATACTGTGTGTATAAAACTTCGTTTGCATGCTTGTGTGAGAATATATGTTTTGTATATGTCTCTATGTGTCCCTGTTAGTGACTGCGTGTTTGTATTTAAGAGTGGGGAGCGGTAGTGTAGTGGTCAGCGCACTGCGCTACGAACCCGGCCACCCGAGTTCGATTCCCGATCCCGGTTAACATCGGTGGCAAATATCTGAAATGGTCCTGGGCTTCCCCTAGGTCGACGCAGCTTGAAAATAAGTACCTGGTGCGGTGTGTAAACAACGAAGATGGCCGGAGGTGGTGCTGGCCATCCACCCCGCCGTTCCGGCCTTAATAGGTGCTCGCTAACAGCACTTGCCCTAACAACCTGTTAAGGCTACATGGGTGGTCTTTGTACTGTATGCTGGGGGTGTGGGAGTCTGCGTAGTTTCCACTCTCGCTGGGGACCTTCTGCTGCCATGGTTGCTACCCCACGTATCTCCCTCCTCTCTGCACTGGGAGCCACGGGGGAGAGGGAGGAGATTTGAGGGAGGGGAGGGATGTGGAGGGAGGGAGGGAGGACAGAGTGGATGGGAGCTCAGGTGACAACAGCAGGAACAACCAAACATCAACAGGCACTCTCGTGGTGGAGTCAGCGAGTGAAGGAGCAAGACCGCGTCGCGTGCTCATCATCATATATCACGGTCCACGTGTCCCCGTTTTAGACTCGGAACGAACTCCCACCACCACCACCATATTTCTTTCCTTCTCATCACTATCAGACGACTTGCAAGGTAAGGGTCTGTTTGTTGTCCGCGTTAAATTCAAGGAGCTCCTATCGTGTCGCAAAAAATGCAACATTCGTTTGTAACACTTCCCGAATCGGAAATGTCTTGGGTTCTCATATATGTGCTGTGAAAAAGGGGCATTGCCCGAAACGTCGCCTATTATATATTTGTTTATTTTAAGGCCATATTGTTGTTGACGAATGTGTTACTTTTCCCCCTAATAGAACTAAAGTTTATGTTAAAACGGAAAAGCATGCGACGTTTCGGGCGATTCCCCTTCTTCATAGCAGAGAGATGTATAATATTGTAAAACACTAGAGATATACAATTTACATTCGTTAGTTAATGTCACCATTGAACTGGACTTTGAGTGCGCAGCCGTTTGATGTGCGTGCCCACGTGACGAGACGTGGTGGGCAGCTGTAGTAGAGTGGTTGGCGCGCTGCGCTACCAACCTGGCGACCCGAGTCGGATTCTCGCTCACGACCAATGACAGTGAGAGCGAATGTGAACCGGTCCTGGAACTCCCCTAGATCGACTCAACCTTAAAACGAGTACTTGGTGCGGCGTGCAAAGATCAGCGCTGGGGAGACAAAGGCGGCTGAGGGTGGTGCTGGCCACCCCCCCCCCCTCGTGCCGGCTTCATAGGCGCGACTCGCTTAGAGCACTTGCCCCAACAGTCTGTTGAGGCTATACGGGGGGGGGTATCTTTGTCTTTGTTATACACACGCTGCATGCGTTCGCAACAAAATAATCTCAGCAGTTATGGAATGTACGTGTAGATGTGTTGCAATGAAAACACATTTATTCATGGACATATTATAGTATTTGTAAAGTGGTTATTGTGTTGTAATATTTGTAATTGATACATAAATGCATAAAATGCATTCGTTTGTATGTGTACGCTGCATGTTGTGTACAGCTTAAATCTACAGCGATGTCTCTGATTACATATCAGCATCGTGACACGAGTTGACAGGTGGCGGCTTGAGTAAACCTTCATCCAGCAGTGGATTGGGCATGGCTGATGATTGATCAATTTTGTGATTAAAAAAAGTGCAAGCCTATAAAATGTCATTTTTAATCTATCATAATAATATTAATTTCATCTAAGCATAGTATTCTTACCATCGTCAAATATTGTAATGCGATCTCCTTTATTATATAATAAAGATTTAATTATCAGCAGCAGCTGCTGCAGCCATGGTCAATCCACTGCTCAGCGCCATCTCCCCCGATCCGGCGATGTCACGATCCACCCACGACGCGAGGCGATTTTATCGCTCCATCTCCTGGGTGGTCTCCAAGACATTTTACACATAAACAATTATTTTTATTATTATTACGAACTTATATTCGCCAATTGGATTAAAGCAAATTTTTAAGCATAGGAACACATTATTGAGACAATAGCCTCAACATATATACTGGTTTAACCCATAGTAGGCTTTCACGAGCAATATCATCCATAATAGAAGTTTGTTTTGGGTTAGATCGCATGAATATATAAATGTGTACTAGTGATCAATTGGCACGTTCTGTTTACGTGACAACCTTTACTAGTTGGCTGTGGCGGGTGGTGGCGGGTTTAACGACACGTTCATATATTTACACGATCCAACCCAATTATGGCACTCGGCGTCCTGCGATGGTGAAGAAGCCAGTGTTTGAGTGCTCAGCAGTAGTTGGGAGCATCCCCGGAACGGTCTTCCAGAAACATTGTGGGCATGCCACGTGTTTGTCCTCATCGTTTCATTGTTAAACCTGTTCATACGATTACAACAATATAGGGTCAACTGCTCGATGATGACTGTGGATAAACGCACATTGCACTCTAGATTGTAGTGGTAGTGCCTTATGCCGATAATTCATACTCCATGCCTGCCTGGCAGCCTTCTGAAAAATGTCGAGTGAGAAATTCAGCCGTGAACAAAGACCTTGCCATTGACTCAGATAGTCAAAGTGGTTTGCTGCATCATTGAGGTGATGCTCACGTTCCATTAACGGCCCTGAGCCTGTTGTGGAAATTCCATATTCCTATGACGGGGTGTGAGTCAATTCATAGGAGAACCATTACTCTTGTTGAATTCTCGCAAAGTGGTGGTCACTTTATCGACCCTGGAGGGATGACGATGATGATGGGCTGCTAAGTCAACCTCTCAGCCAGGAATTGAACTGGCAACCTTCCACTTGCGGGCCGCTCGCTCTCTACCGTCGAAGCCACCTGGCCGGATGAAGTCGTAGCCTGGGATTCTAACGCTCACTTCAGAGGGCAGCCGTGCTATCGACATCGGTCCGCCCCCACCTATCAGTGTGACGACACCGCCGCCGCTTCTCTAATTGAGCTGCCCAAGCGCCCGGGGCATTCCCTCGGGGCACCGTCGCGTGCATTGCACCGCCGGTTTCTATAACAGCGACGCGGGGACGGGGAGAAGTGGCCACAGGAGACGTTGAGCAACGGTACATCCAGTCCACGAAACCCGCAATAACAACATGCAGCTGCTGGCTTCCACGATTGTTGAGACTAAACATTCGATTACTCGACTCCACGGGTGTCACTAACATAGCAGGTGGAATAAAGCAAAAAAAAATTCTAAGCGTGCCGCTGGACGGGAGGTGATGGGCGAGGCTTGGTGACGTCATAGGCATCGATCCATAAACCGGGCGCGTCACGCTGGGCGTGGTTTGTGGGAGGGGGTTGCCCGCCTTCGGCTGACATTTTTAAATGGGCCGGAGTGAACTCGGGGATCGGAGGAATATTTTCCGGAGTTCAACCCCGGGCTGCTCCGGCTGGAATCCGCTACTTGTGTCATCCACACGAGGGGCGCGAAGCCGCTCAGTCAGTAAACCTACACAAGGAACAAAAACAAACCCGACAAACAGGATAAGTCCTGCAGAAGGCCGGTCGGCCGGAACGTCGAGCTAATTTATTTTTTCAGTAACAAAAACAATCAACCTTTTCCAGTTCCTAAAGACGCTCTCGGCACGTGGAGCAAAACGTCGGACATCGTGCCGAGCAACAACACGCTGTACTCTTTGGTTTTTTCGGTAAAGTCACGTAGGTAAAACATTAAGATAAATTAAATCACGACGTTTCGGGCGCAACACAAGCGTCCTTCTTTACCGACAAAACCAAAGAGTATGAATCCTTGCAGTCACGAAAACTTCAAATCTACAACAACAACACGTTGTACCCACGCGGCGATGTAACTCGTGACTCGTTAAGCGCTCGCTCGCGTCTTCTCACGCGTCTCGCGTCTCTTCCGCAGGCGCGATGGCTCTGGGCTGGATCGTGTGCGTGGCACTGGGTGAGTTGCGTTCACGCCACGCTCACTCTCATCCACCAGAGTCGCCTCCACCTCACTCCCGCAACGAGATGCCACGTGCAGTAGTCGACGGACGGTCTACACCGTTGGAGCACATTCTGTTTGCGAGCTTCTATTAAGGGGCGGCGTGATCCCACGACGAGCATCGCTATGTTTACGCGGTGCAATCTGATCCACATTTAAGGCTGAGGCAACCTACGGGAGAGTTCCAGAACCGTTTCAGATATCGCTCGCCGCTGGGATTCGCCGAACTCAGGCGAGCCTGGTAGCAGCGTTTGTGCCAGGCTAGGTGCACTCTGAGACCACGTGGCGGGAGGTCACGGGACAGATCCTGGTTTAATGGAAGATACATCACCAACGATACGTGTTTATCTTTTAAACTATTAAACAATTTACTCTTTGGTTCTTTCGGTAAAGTCACGTAGAGAGAAAAATAAATTAAATAATAGCATACGACGTTTCGTGTTGCTTTAATTTTATTTATATTTTTTTCTACGTGACTTTACCGAAAGAACCAAAAACAATTTGTTTTAGTTTACCAGGTAAGGGCCACTGAACTACACAGCTGTTTCTCAGAAGCGACCTGGCCACAAATGACAGCTCAAGTGGCTTATCACGTGGAAATTTATAGCAGACAAATACTCGAAACGCATGATTCTAAATGTGGAGGTAAAAACCAGAGAATCTGGAGAGAAAAAATCCACACGGCCACGGGGAGAGAGACACGCACACTCCAAATATAAAGCAGGCGTCAGGATCGGGATCGAACCCACGACCTCCTGTATACCAGGCGAGGTAGTTAACATCTCCTAGCCACCGTGATGATGATGAGAGAGAGACACGCAAACTCCAAATATACAGCAGGCATCAGGATCGAACCCACGACCTCCTGTATACCAGGCGAGGTAGTTAACATCTCATAGCCACCGTGATGATGAGAGAGAGACACGAAAACTCCAAATATACAGCAGGCATCAGGATCGAACCCACGACCTCCTGTATACCAGGCGAGGTAGTCAACATCTCATAGCCACCGTGGCGCGATGTTCACTGCGTCCCACACTGCGTACCCTGGGGCGTCTCAGAGCGCCTCACATCGCGGCTCATCTCAACAGCTGCTCCTGCGGACCGCACGGTGACTGCCAGCGCCTGGCCTGACCACGGGTGTGACTGCTCTGTATCATCCCCATTGGCGCTGTCGGTAGGCTGCTGCCGCGCTGGTGACATGGTTAGCGCACTGGAACCTGCAACTCAGAGAAGGAAGCTGCTTCGATTCGATCTCCAGGCGTGGCAGTTTAAACATTGGGGCAAGTCTCGTGACCCCCCCCGTCCCACCAAGTGGTGTGACGTGGCGAGGCCACCCTGGGACGAGGGTAGATTGTGGCTACTCGGACCTTTGGCCAATGTGAAAGAGTGGGTCAAATATCTGTTATAAGGGTTCCCGAGGGCTCTCAGTGGTGTGAGCAAGCATTTTCAAGGCAGCAATTGTACCTTTTTTACTGTACATAGCGCTGTACGGTTGAACAAATGAGCAATCGACGTATTTAAATGTCCACATTGTAAAGTGGAGCCCGGTGCGCGTAGTCAAAATAGGCAGCTTCCCAGTCGACGGCTGACAACGTTAATCATTTGCAAAGGAGCGGTGGCGCAGTGGTAAGCGCGCCGCTCTACTAACCGCACTAGCAGAGTCCAATTGCTGGCCACAGCTAACGTCAGTGGCGAGCGATATTTGGTTAGCACGGTTGGCTATGTACGGTGCGAAATAAGTTCTACGTACAGATATGAACCGGTCAAGAACACCGCCAATTCCACTTCCTTTAACTGCACAGAGGAGGCAGTCTCGTGCCCCATTGTTTAACCCCGGAGATTAAGCAAAGCCATTGAGGGTGGTGCAACAGCGTTGCCTCTCTGGCAAGGGCAACCTGCGTTAGTTACATCGAGAACTATTTAAGCATACAAAAATAAACAATTTTAAATGCCATGCATGCGGATGCCAATGTGTTATGGAGGTAAATGCCAAGGTCGAGGTCTGTGACAGCGGTGGTGAGAGGGCTTCAGCAGAGAGAGTCGGTGTCGTTGTGCCGCTGATTCTCCTCCGTTGAACGGCGCGCAGACCGCCGTGGTTTTACTGCGAGGTCCGTGGCTTGGCTTGCGAGTCCACGATCGCACTGCTGTTGCGGCTTGTCTTTCATTTGCCATTTAAATTCAACAAAACCGGACAATCGTTAACACAAATGTAAATGCAAATTGGAACAACGAGAAGTACATGGCTGCAAATTGTTCTGAACGGCAACAAAAGAAAGCAGAAGTGGAGTGTACAAAGGATGGCTCGTGCAATTTCTGGCGAGGAAACTTGACCAAGACCGGGCAGGTAAGGGCAACCAGAGAGAATGAAACAAAATATCATCGATGTCAACCCGCTTAGGGCCTTACGCTCGAACCAAGGCTGCTTGGTGGGGCGTTCATCAAGCGGCGCACTGACAAAAGGGGCTTGGAGCGATTTTGTTTTTTCTTTCTTTTCCAATCCCTCCCGTCGACTCCTCATTGTGCAGCCGCTCTCTCTGTTGAACGACGGAAAATCACTTTTGTCGCTGAACTTTGTCGCTTATCGCCTTCAATTGGCACAAAACACCGGGCTCTGGGATGAAATTTCACTCGGAGTGCGTCCGTGTCGGATTTTGACTCTCATTGTGTTTGTTCCTTTAATTAATTTCAGGTTCCTTCTCTCCACCACCACCATCCTATTGTGATCACAACCCAACACGTTTCACAATGTCAGCATTTGCCTCTCTGCAATAATGAGCAGTGGTTGTTGCACAAGTCCAGGCTTGTGCGTCTCATACAACAAGACGAATTGTGTTTCGTTGGTTTTTAAATCACAGTTTGCTGAGCAAAGTTGCCCAAAATGTCCCAAAACTCCAAGGTGCCAACGACTAAACATCGCGATTGAAGTTGTAAGGGATGAGAGTGAACACGTTGCGTGCATTGAGGAAGGTTATCATGAGAACTCGGGAAGAGGTCATGGGCGGTAGTTCTCAATCCAACATCTCCACAGTGTCTGCTCAAGGCTGCCGCCGTCGCGTGCTCTGCCATTGCTAAGACGCAGAAAGAGAGGCGTTTCGATCTGCAGCGTGGTGGTTGACCGCAGTGTGCACGAGACACAGCCGCGAGGGGGTAAAGACGCAGCCCTGCAATCGCTCACTCACGCCGCTGCCCGAGGAAGAGCCTCCACTAGCTCGAGAGAGCCCCTCTGAAGGGTATTTGGCCTACTCTTCCATACACTTTACCCCACCACACACCAGCTGCCGATCGAAGAACTGTGCTGAACACATTCCTATACTGCTGGGTGGACCGAGGCAGCGGGACCTCAAGAAGCTTCCTCTTTATCTCGACTGTTGTGCCGGGAGATCAAATCAAGCCGGTGCAATCTGGATGACAATTGAAAAGGGCTCAATATTACCCCATGGCAGCATCGCTGCCATATACATCACCTATTTACCTGAACTAGTTTCACTTATCACGAATGACAGCCCAAAGCAGTGGCTTATCAAGTGGAAATTCATAGGAGCGAAAAACTCCAAACGCATGTTGGGGTAAAAAACCGGAGAACCCAGATAAAAATCGACGCGATCACGGGGAGAACACACAAACTCAAATATACAGCAGCAGGCGTCAGGGTTGGGATCAAGCCCACAACCTCCCGTGTACCAGGCGAGGTAGTCAACATCTCTCCCTGGTCGTGCCCTTCTCAGGGACGAGTGGGGTTATAGGGGCATCAGCTAACTTTTACAGTCAACAATTTAGCAGATAAATAGTTCAAGAAAATAAGTAATTACGTAACAGCCGCTCAATTCGTATTTGTTGTCCATTAGCAGGAGACCAGTTCGATTCCCAATCGTGGCTTCCCACATCAGTGGCATATATCTGAACCAGCCCTGGCTCCCCCCTTCACCAGCTCGCACTGACCAGGATGGTGAAGTATGGTCAAATAACACTCCATAACTGACACAGCATGGGTAGGCCTGTACATTAGTATTATCATTAACATACACGTACGTTTTTTGGCTGAAGTTGAGCGCTGGATTCAGATGTAGTTTAATCTGCCGCAAGGCAAGAGTTAGTACATCATTGGAAGAATGCACAATCCAGTGTTGTACAAGCACTTTCGTCATTATTGGCAGCAAAGCAACAGACGGAAATCTACCAGAGGGGAGATGGAACAATGAAATCGCTCCGTATGCATTATTAATTACGTCGTAGGAGAGGCTTTCATCCAGCAGTGGATTTATCATGGCTGATGATGAGCATTAATATTTCATAATCTGTACGAAAGCATCTCATTTTTAATTGACCACAAGAACCTACAACATCAAACACTCACGGGTATCATAAGGGCCCACGTGGGACCAATAATGATCTTATATAAGAACCCACAATCTAATTTATATTTATATAGAGCGCCTTTATTCAAGGCGCTTACTGAGGAGTGAGTGGCAGCGATGGAGGAGGGGAGGGACGGGGAGGAGTGGAGGGGCGACGGGAAGACATCAATGGGCAAGAGAGAAGAGGTGAGGATTTGAGAGGAACAGAAGGGGGTGAAGGAGGGCGACTGCTTCACGTGCAAGGGGAGTTTCAGGGTTGGCTACAGCGCAGACACCTCTCCTGTGCTGGTGAGCTATGAAGCATGCAAAGTTGTTCTTTGCCAAATGAAAACATCTGCGGCTCTTCGTGTGATCCCATGACGTGGCGGGACACCCTGACTGAGTCCACCCTCCACTTTCACAACACGTGCCACCCTGGGAGTGAACAAGAGTTGTTGATTCGTGGTTGTCTTTCACTGGGCTGCTCGTTTTTGCTCGGTGTTTGCTCACCCCAAGCAAAGCTATGCACACTGAAATGCACATCCCTTTTGTCGATCCACTGCTGGATGATGGCATCCAGATGTGTAGCGGGTCATGGGGGGTGGGGGGGTTCAGTAAGTG